GCCATCCATGCATAACTTGACATAACCTACACATACGCGTATTTTGTTCACTATTTGTTTTTTGTCTCTGTCTAAAATACAGTCGGACACATATCACTTATCTGACACGTACATACACACACACACACACACACACACACACATATTGCAAAACTCTTATCACCCCAAACAAGGAAAACACAATGTCATATACACACATTTACAGAATCAACAAATTAAGCAGTCATATGACATGTTTGTTAAGTTGTGTAAAGTTTTGACTATGGTCTTCGACCCTCATTGAAGTGTGTTAAAGTGTTTGAGGCATGTTTTCTGAGATGAATTAGACTTTTCTGTTTTCAAAATCAAATGTGCTGTAGTGACACCAAATATAAGGGTGACAAATCAAGAAAAACTTGGACACACGCCACTGCAGTTACAATTAAAGAGCTTTCATCCAATCCAAACAGACCCAGCTGGAGGGCCAAGAAGGAGTGAGGAAAACGACTAAGTGACTTTGTAAGAGGGTTCATTACGGGGACACGGTGTTTCGGTCACACCAGGTGCTCATCTGGCAAGTGTTTAGTGACATCCAGTTTAAATGTAGGGGAAGCGAAAATGCCTGAATGCTTGTTTGCAACAGTGAGAGGACACGGTGGCTCTGTTGTGTTTCCCTGACATGGTTTGGATCCTCGTGCCTTTACAGTGAAAGCCATTTCATTTCTGTAACATTTCTATGCTTACGGTTGTGGTCTCTTCCAGGATGACAGGGGTCACTGGTGGATTCGATGTGTATGAAAATGATGTAAATCATATGCTAAGGCCTTCACATCATCTATGGAGCTTAAATCAATCAAGTTTAACCGTTCTTACAGTGGACAGTAAGTAATACACAATAAGTACAAAGCTGACAAAACAGTAGAAGCAATGCAAGTCTGTTGTCTGGTGAACTGTTAATCTGATTACTTTCTCTTGCAAAAAGTTTGAACTTTGAGGAAAAGCCACTTCTTTTTCCCCTAAATGATTCTTTCTTTCTTTCTCTCTAATCTCTTTTGCCCAAACTCTTCCTCCATCCTTTCATCCTGTCTCTCATCTCCCTCCCACCCCAGCTGGACTCCCTCCATTTTGTCCGTCCGGTGTCGCCTTCCCAGAGGAGCGTCCCGCTTGCCGGTGTCCCAGTGGAGGTGGGTGATGTATATTTGATGAGCGGGTGCTGGAGGGGAGGAGTGGGAGGGGGACCCTCTGGAGGGCCTACAGCAGGGACAATGGACCTCGCTCAGGTTTCCTGCTGGCCGTCACTGACACTGCTGCTCTTTTTGTGGGCGAAGCTGGTGAGATGAGGCTGGAGTTTCAGCCAGGACAGCAGAGCGGGAGGCAGAGTTACAGCAGGGACAAGACTCAGCACAGTTCAGTCTCATGCACACTGGATTTTTTTCAATATATTTCCAATATATTATCACTCAGAAAAACAATACTGTCAAGATGCTGGTAAGACTACCACTTGCTGAATTAGAGGACCGATGATCATCATACTGTGTGTATAGATTCGGTTTAAAATGAAAGTTGAAATGATGGTTTTCAGTTATTAAAAAGAATAATATTTCATAAATATTTATTTAATTTTAGCAGTTATTTAAGAACTTATTCAAGCGATAAAGTAAAATGTTTTAGTGAGTTATCTTACGGATGTTGCACTCAAGTTTGGTGATGTATACAGTTTATGAACATGACAGTTTTCTCCAATAAAAGCATCTCTGAACTGGATACCCTCCCTTAACTATAAGAGTCAAATTTTCAGCCACTACTTTTGGGTGAATGATGACAACACAGATCAGAAATAGACAATAAAACTATAACTATAATTATTACTAATAAAATCACAGATTCAGCTCAAATGTCCTGTGAAGATGTCTAATGCTAATGAACAGCAGAGGGAAACATGCGCAGATGTTTCCATCAGTTCCCTTTAAACTTATCATCCTCTTAATTCGTTTTGTTTATTTCTCTGAATCTCTTTCCCCCTTCTCCCCAACATTCACCTCACACAACTGCTCATATTATCACTGACACTAAATCAGCTTTATTCGCTATTTTAAACACAGATAATTCAACTGTTTTATCAACACAATAAAAGTATTTTAGTTCTATTTTATCGGTAGTTCCCAATTAATTTCATTTGCACCATAAAGTTTTAGGTACGATGTAAATGAGCAAAACACATGTGCCCAATTTGAATCAGTGTGAAGTTTGTCAATAATTTTTGTATTGAGAATACTGTACTACATTTAAACTATGGTGCATTTATTTTAATTGACAACATGTAAAAGATGATCAAATGTGATGAGAATATTATGTTCACAAGACAGAGGATGAAGTCCAGGCACTCTGCTTTGTTAAAGTAAAAAAAACATTTTTATCGTCGAGGCGACATGATGTAAAAACAAGAGTGATACACACACTGAGCACACACACACACTGAGCACACGGTGGTCTTCCTCAGGGTCCAATAATCACACACAAGTGAGAAAACGCTTCAGTCACAAAAGAGTCGACTCTTAAGAAAACGTATTATAATAGACTGTTTGACTGTAAACTCTGTTGTAGTTTTGAATTGGACAATATGATTCAATATGGGACACAAACTTATTGAAAGGGTTTTAAATGTCTCTTGGTTCACACAGACTCCCCTTAAAAATAAAGGAGCCATTTGTTAATTTGTAATAACGTCTTAATGTTATCGTGAACAGAGGATTGCCCCCCAATAATTCAGTTCAGGTCAAAGTAAAAATTATTGTTATTGTATATCACTACTTAATGTACAGGGCAACAAAACAGTTTTTCTTTGGTGCAACAATGAAACGATAAAAAAGAAGTCACAGGATGAACAGAGCATTTATGTAACAGTCTTTAAATTAGTTCTGGTCTGTTAAGACAAACAGTTAATTACTCATTGCATATTTAAAATGAAATTGTAATTGTTTCTTTATGTTCGTATTTTGGAAAAAGTTTGCTCAGCCCTCAGTCATCCTGTTTAATCAACATCAGTCTTATTAAATAAATATTACAACTGTTGTTACTGGTTTAATTTAACCTACTAGACATTTTATTGTTACTCAATTAGTTCATTTTTGAATGTTTGGTAAACAATCATCATTAGTAGTAGTAGTATTATTGCACATGTAGCCACATAATCACATAAAAAGAGGGATTCTCTAACCTGGAGACCCCTCACCCCATCAACCCCTCCATCCGACATTTGACTCCTCCCCCTCCATGAACGCCTTTAGGTGATTAATGCGAAAATTATTCAATCTTATCGCCTGCGTGTCTGCTCGCCGGAAATCCCCTCTGTGATCGACAAGCTGCTGCCTCGATGACCCCGCGTGCTCTATTTGTATTTCATGGTGCCCCTTAGATCCCATTCGGACCTGTTTATTCTTTAATTGAGATAATTGTGTGTTTGCGTGTGTGTGTGTGTGGGTGGCTGTTTGTATATGTATGTATGTATGTGTGTGGGATGGGGGCATCCTTGCTACAGCCACAAAGTAAATGAGGCATGATTAATTAATGTATTAATTGCCGAGAAAGTGAATGGGGTTCAAGCGGAGGAATTCCTGCGCATTTTACCATGTGCCATCAATTAATAATCGGAGCTGTACATGTGTGTGTGTGTGTGTGTGTGTGTGTGTGTGTGTGTGTGTGTGTGTGTGTGTGTGTGTGTGTGTGTGTGTGTGTGTGTGTGTGTGTGTGTGTGTGTGTGTGTGGCTGCAGGTTGATATTCATAATCAAACGCCTTTAATTGTTGCATTGTGAATCCGGGCAGAGCAGAGAAGGAACAAACCGATTAATCAGTTGAAGTTGTATCCGCCAATGGACTGATCACTCTCCTGTTTATGTAAAGTCATATTCACTATATATTATCATCATAACATGGACTCTATATTGTAAATATGTAAATCTGTTCCTCAGCAAGTAGAATAAACAAGTAGCCTATATGCTTCAGTATGAGTGTAGAGGCGAACAACAACATATAGTATTGCTATAATAATAATAATAATAATAATAATAATGTGTCTGTGCTCTGCTGAGCTCTGCAACACTCTAAAAAAGCTGTGTTGATATCTCAGCGTGTGATCCTCCACAACAAAAAACCAAAGCCTCAAATATCCATTTAAATAAAGCTTTAAATAATTTATCTGCTTTGAGTGTTTGAAGATTAAACTCAATGATTTCCCTGTGAGACTAGTTGACATTTACATTTGACTGTTTTCAAGCAAGAAAAAAATACAATTATTCACTGCTTACTGCACATATTTTAGGGAAATGATTGTTAATCAGCATTTAGATTATTACAGGAGTGAAAGCCAGACATGCACATTTCTGTCAGAACCTCATTGATGCAGTTTCATTAAGATTATTTTACTGCTAAATTAAATGTCTTCTTCTTCTGCTGCTGTGATGATTCTGGTGAATTTCTTCTTGCAGGTGTTGTTTTATTTTTTTTTTATTCCAGAAAAATCAACGGATATTTTTTTAACAGTGCAGCCAGACAGCATCCTTCCTCGTTGCTCCTTTACAGTGAGCCAGGCACGCTCAGGGGCGTGGTTACAGACGTCTATCTCCACGTGATTGGCGGAGGCGTCCAGATGGATGGAGTGAGGATACACCAATGAGGAGGAGCCTGCGCGGCAGTGGTCCAATATAGGCGCTGGAGGCGAGGAGCATCTTTATTATAGAAGTCATTTACAGGCAAAGAGGAGGCAGGAGATCCACAGGAGTGCAGGAGTTACCTCTCCTCTTCTTCTTCTTCTTCTTCTACTTCTTCTATTTCTTCTTTTTTTTTTTTTTTAATAATCTGACGCCACCTGCGATCCCCGATTCACGAACGACTTTTCATCCAAACCGTCTGCGTCTGGCAGGTTTTGTTTGTGTTTCCTCTCTGAGGCGTTTCTTTATAGAAAACTACCAAAACGGAGCCGAACGACGAAGACGGACAACGACCCTCACTCACTTCTGCAATCATGATGTCGATGAACAGCAAACAGCCTTTCAGTATGCACCCCATCCTGCACGAGCCCAAATACACTCCTCTGCACTCCAGCTCGGAGGCCATCCGCAGGGCCTGTCTGCCCACACCGTCGGTGAGTCAAAGAAACCGTTCAGACTTCCTGCAGCTGATGTCATTTGACAAGAAAACTTCCAAAACATCACATTTCTGGAAACAGAGTAGAAAAACTTTTTTTGTTTGGTCATTCTAAAAACTTTTACAGAGTCAAGCTCATGAGTGATTAGATGTGAGGTTTCAACTATTGCGAGCAGACGCACACAGGAATCATTGACTCTGAATTGTGCCCTAATGCGTTTCAACTAAAATAAGGTTTCCACATTAATGTATAGAATGAAACTTAATTTCATAAAAATAATAATAACATCATATTCTGGCTTCTAAAGTCAAAATCTCAGTGTTTACTCGCCTGAAAAGGTTTGAACACTAATGGGAATAAAGCTGTAACTCTTAAAATGACAGATTAATGACATAAAGAATTAAATGTTTAAGACAGTAGAGATAAGGATGATCAGAGAGCAGCAGCACAAGGAGGGCTGCACAGAAAACAAGTCACTCTGGTTACTAGGAGCCAAACTCTGCGTAAAGACGCACAAAACTGCATCTTTTGTCTCTGAAAAAAAAAAATCCCTGTATTCAAACAAGTGTGATTGAAGCTGCTAAAAAAAAAGTGGAAGATAAAAGATGAAAGGGATAGAGGAGGAGAGGCTGGCGCTGGACTCTGAGCGCGTGTTATCTCATATTGTCCCATTCATATTCAAAACTCACACTCGTCTCATTTCATTGTCCGTAGAAATTATTCAGGAGATCGTAAATATTAATTTTAAATGAATATCCATCCGCGCTGACACACTTTCCAGGCGTTGGACAGAGCCACTGATGTCCAAGTCGCGTTGGATTAAATCGTTTAAAATGTGGGAGACAAAGTTAAAGTTTATTTCATTTTTTTGTTGTTGCTTGAAATAAATCTCTAAACGTGGCCTGCGCGTTTAAGATGGAAAAACCTATTTACTTAGTGAAAACACTGTTCTTAGTTCAGATGGAACCTAAACACATACCTGCTTTATATCCCAGTTTTAAAAGTTTGACTGGTGGTCCACCTCACAACTTAAACATGAAGCTTTCACGTGAGAACATGTAATAATATAATAATACAACTTGGTGACATTTAACATGTTAAAATGTCAGTAGTCTTCATATAAAATATCACCAGACACAGCTTCAGGTTCAATCAGAGAGAAACTCAAATTAAAATATGTTGATTGTCTCCTGTTGTATTTCACATAAATGTCTGTACAAAATTAAATTTTTGAGTTGATTCCTTTGTAATAGAAAGATTGTATCATGGAAACGAAATTGGTTGAATTGGTGATTGATGATTACATAAAGTCGATAGATCGATTTCTGTCAGATTTCCACCTCTAACCGGCCTGTCTCTGCTCCTCTCCAGCTTCAGGGCAACATCTTCGCCGGCTTCGATGAGACGCTGCTGCAGAGAGCCGAGGCTCTGGCCGCTGTGGACATCGTGGCCCAGAAGAGCCACCCGTTCAAACCAGACGCGACCTACCACACCATGACCACCATGACCAGTATGACCTGCACCCCGACCTCCTCCTCCGCGCACCTGCACCACCCGTCGGTGCTCACCTCCCACCACCACCCGGGGCACCACCAGCCGTCGCAGGGTCTGGAGGGCGACCTGCTGGACCACCTCACACCGGGCATCTCCTTGGGAGGCATGCCCGGCTCAGACGTCTGCTCCACGGCCTCGCACACCGCCCACGCCGCCCACATGTCGGCCATCAACCACATGCAGCACCACCACCATCAGCAGTCCATGAACATGCACCCACACGGGCTGGGGTCCCACAGCTCCTTAGGGACCGGCGGCGGAGACGCGGAGCCGGATCCCCGGGAGCTGGAGTCGTTCGCCGAGAGATTCAAACAAAGGCGGATCAAACTCGGAGTGACCCAGGCGGACGTGGGCGCGGCCCTGGCCAACCTTAAGATCCCCGGGGTCGGATGTCTGAGTCAGAGTACCATCTGCAGGTTCGAGTCCCTGACCCTGTCACACAACAACATGGTGGCCCTGAAGCCGATCCTGGAGGCCTGGCTGGAGGAGGCGGAGCGGGCGCAGAGGGAGAAGATGTCCAAGCCAGAGATCTTCAACGGGGGCGACAAGAAGAGGAAACGCACGTCTATCGCGGCCCCGGAGAAGCGCTCCCTGGAGGCTTATTTCGCCGTGCAGCCGAGGCCCTCGTCGGAGAAGATCGCCGCGATCGCCGAGAAATTGGACCTGAAAAAGAACGTGGTCCGGGTTTGGTTTTGCAATCAGAGGCAAAAGCAGAAACGGATGAAGTTTTCAGCGACTCACTAAGACCAGCGGGGGGTTAACACAAAGACAAATCAGAGACAAGCTGCTGCTGCACACTGTCAGAAAAACAAGGTACACCGTTGTGCCTTTTGTTACTGTGGCCCGACCTGTTTGACTCAGACAGGGGCCCATAGGTGCGCACTTAAAAAAATATTATATCCATCTTAACAGGTCATTTAATCTCTTATCGAGTCTTAAAGTAGAGTTTGGTTTTTATTTTCCCTCAAGATAAAAGTTTCTGCAGCCAACATGTGAGATGCTGCATCACCTCATCGGCTGAATTCGTTATTTACTGAAGAAAAAAAAAAAACTACATTTCATGACTGATGATGGACTAAATGTCTTGTTAAGAGTCCTTGCAGTGTTGTCCACCTTGTAAAGGAGCAGCATTCACAGCCGTATTTTTTTGCACCAGTGCCTGAATTCCAGTTGTGGAAATGATTTCACAGAAAGTATTTGAAACACAGGCTGCAACTTATTTTTGTTTGTTTGTTGTTTTTTTTTTTCGCTTTTGAAGCAGATGCAAAGAAAAACCTGCCTCTGGGGGTGTTTCACTTGTATTTTAGAGACACTGATAGGTCTGGATGTGGGACACCTGATGACCATCTTCACTCAGTATAAACCGGAACTCTTTTTTTTTATATTTTAAACCGTGTGGGGAAAGGTTCAGCCTCACAAAAACACAACAACTGGATTCAACGGTGTACCTTTATTTTTATTCTGACAGTGGAGACCGGGAGCACCGGGACTGGGAGAAAGACTGACACCCTGTCCGAAAAAGAAAAGAAAAAGAAAAAAAAAAAAAGACTCAAGACTCAAATCTCTCTGCTTCTCCACAGTGTAGGCCGACGATCTCTGAGATATGACGGGAGACAGTGATCAACCATCGCGGGCAGGAAAAGAGGGGGAACGATGCCCCGTCCCATTCATTCATATGGCAATTATTGTACAAAAAAAATAAGAATAATAATGACGGGAATCGAGGAATAATTGTTATTATCCTCCTTAGTTGGAATAGCTTTTTTTATATTTATCATTGTACATATTTGTGAATATGTTGCACCTCCGTGTGTGGAAAAAGCTCATTGAAATGTATTGAATTCTCGCTGTCTTTCCTCCCAGGTGTTTGTTTCTGTAGGGAAATGGATGTTGTT